TTTTTTTTTTTGGGACAACTGCTCCAATCTATTCGTGGGGAGTTCCAAGTTACTGGAAATCTGTGAGTCCCTCCCCATTAATTCGGTCTTCTCCTTTGCTATGAACCTGGCCAGTTTCTTTGACTGATTCATCCGGCCTAGCACGGGGTTCTGGAGCTTCCTTACTCACTATCAGACCGGCCTGGGGCACGGTTCCACTAGCACACGAGTCATGGCCTATTTGGACCTGTGCGGCACTGTAAGAAAAGGAAGAAAAGTAATTTTAAAGACTTGAAAAAAATAAAAATGGCGACGGTACATTTCCCAAGATGGGAAGAAGTCGGACTTTTGAAAGTGCAGCCGTCCCACTAACCCTCCCGTCTCCACCCTCTGCTCCCCACCCAGCCAATACCTAGTCAGGACAGAGTGGTACGTGACTGTTGCAGTCTCGCATACCACCTCGAGGGAGTCCCTTCCTGTGCCTGATGGGACTCCCTCCTCTGACGGTTGCCATGCTGAAGCGTGCATTTCGTATATTTTGAGAGAATCGAAGTACTGGATGGGGTTAACAATTGACCCGGAAAAAGAAGGGGGTCAAAATTATGCCCTTCGAGTACTGGATTTTTTTTAATCTTTTGAAGAGCTGCCAATTAAAATGAGTCTTTCTTTTTTCTTTTCCCGCCTCTATCTTGGGAACTGGAAAGAAAAAGCACAAAAAAAAAACAAAAAAAAAACACCACTTCAGAATATAAATCCCTCGCAATTTTGCTGCCATCCGATTCTCCTTCATCAGTGGTCGGTCGATGTCCCGCAGATGTCCCAAAGGTGTTTGTGGGACACGGTTTACCTTACTCCTTTGCTAGTGGAACCGTGCCCCTGGACTGTGCATTTTCCACTTCCCCCTCCAAGCTCCTTTTTAGTTTTATTTTTATTCTTTTTATTTTTTTTTAAGCTCCTTTTTTTTGGGAAACGGTTATGGTATACTTATTGGAGTACTCTGGTGGCGGCCCTTTCCTCTTTCAGTGGTACTTGCAAGAACTGCTCCTCATGGGTGGCTCCCTTTTTTTTTTTTTTTTTTAAATAACCCCCCCTTCCAGTGCTAGTGGTGCTGGTAAGAGCAGACACCGCTAACACCTGGGGAGAGGCTCCATCTATTGGTGGGGAGCATAGTTACTTCATCGGGAATATTTCCCGCCTGCCTCCGACTGCATCCGCGCTCCTATCATCCGGGGCCAAGTCTAACTTACGCTGATCCTTGATTTCGGGTCGTTCATCTTCCGAATCTGCGGTCAGAAATCGATCATTCGGGTAAGTGGGACTTGTCCCCCGGGCTTCTTATTGCCGAAGTACGGACCTTTTTTTTTTTTTTTTTTTTTTTTTTCTTTTGTACGGACCTTTTTCGAACCTCTGTCCACTCTGTCTCTCCTCCTGACTTCTGACCTTAAACCACCAGTACTTCCTAAAGTCGTGCCCGTTAAAGCTACGCGATTTTAGGAAACGTACGGGCCACTACAAGAGCGCCCAAATTCATCCAACTAGAAACGTTTCTACTCTATTTTTTTCCGCGGCCAATAGCTGGCCCAAGTACTGGTGGTTTAAACCACCAGTACTTGGGCCCAGCTATCATTGCCGAGCCTGGAATCTCCCTGCGCACCAATTTTTGCCGAAGCGCCAGGGTACCGTTTCAATTTTTTTGGCTGGCGTTTCCAGCCATTGAGGTCCAGTACCCCGAAGCCCGAACTTTGCATAGCGTTAACGTCAACGGCCCGCGGCTGATGTATGGGCCAAGTCCTGGTGGTTTAACCGTCTCTCTCCCATAGCCTCCCCTCTTGGTTGTCCTCTGCTTCTCCTCTCTCTACCTTCGTAGCTGGAAA